TATATATATATATATATATATATCCCCTAGAGGTATCGTTAGCTTCGATTTTCGATCGTGGATTTCTCTCTCAATTCCAAACCAAACGTTTCAACCTCAAAATCTGTACAACCTCACCGTTTATACAACAAACGAGAGAGAGAGAGAGAAAGAGGAAAAGAAAAAAAAAATCGCACGAAAATTCTCGACGGTTGGCCACGTTTCATCGAGCGAGAAAGAAAGGGTAAAAAAAAGAGAGAGAGAGAAAAGAAAATAACAAGTTTTTCTCTTTCTCTCTCTCTCGAGAGGGGGGAAGTGGATTTGATTTAAAACTTCGATATATCGTTCCGGGGTGATCTATCAATCGTACGCGAAACAGCTGACGAGAGGAAAAATCTCTCTCTATTATATCTATAATCTCGAAATGCGGAATTCCGCCGAGAATCGTCTTGCTTGTTTTTCCGTTTTTCCCATCGTCGATCAATCGGTTCGACGATCGGCCGCCGCGATACATTGCTATGAAACGCTATGAAATTTCTTATTGCATACCTCGTAAACCTCGTTGAATCGCGAGACGAGCTCCTCTCCTCTCCGTGTAAATAAAGATCAGAGGAAAGAGAAGTGACGAGTTCCTGTCGATATCGCATCGAGCGCAGCTTCGAAGAACGCTTTGGACCTAAATTTTTTAAGGATTCGCGATTGGAATCGATTTCCGACTGGAAATTTTATCTCGTAGAAAACGTATAGTTATCTTTATGGTGGGAGAAGATTCTTGGTTGAGAGGATTCTTGGTTGGAAAACGGATCGAGTTATTCAGAACACAGGAATTTGGAAATGGATGAATTTTCCGAGAGATTGGTAAAATTTGAGAATTTTCGGTGTTGAAAACAATTTGAAAATTTGAAAATTTTAGAGCGAAAGTGCCAAGTACGTTACAACGAGCTCAAGATAATGCTTCTTTTATTATTAGCCCGACGCGATACGACACTTCCGACACGGTGGATCGTGTCGATAATCGATCCCCGGTGAAACCACACACACGCACACGAGCGCGAGGAGAGTAAATATTATCACATGACGGCGGCGGAATAAATTTCAATTACGAAATGATGAAGTTCCATTTACAAATTCAGCCGAAGAAGTAATGTGTGCGTAACAGCACATGATTTTAATCACGTGCCCAGTTAAGTCTAACTGTAGTCACGCGCAACAGCGTAATAATTAACCCCTTAGCTCGGTTGGGTCAACGATCGTTCAACCAAGTACAAACATTCCGTCTCTGCCACTTGTAAATTCCATTCGTTTCGTTTCCATCGAATTCCCTTCCGTCATTTCGATTTCATTATCGATCGCCTCTTCTTTCTTTTAATTCTTATCTTCGGATAGAAAATGGAACTCGTAATTTCGTTATTTATTTTTTTTTTTTTTTTCCACCTTATACACGCTTGGATAGAGATTCTACTCCTCTTGTACATCGATTGTTAAAAAATTAAGGATACAATACAATCGTGGAAATTTTAACAATCGTCAACGACTCTCGAGAAGAAAAATCGTTTCTTCGGAACGACGAAGAAAAATAAAAGTCGGTGAAACTTTTAATACGACGCGTTGTCTCGGGGCGTCTAGGAATAGACATCAATTGATCGTTGAACGCGATTTAACCGTGGTTTTACAATAGTATTATTTCGTGAGTCAGAGCGTAAATACAATGGCGAATCGACCGCGACGCGACTATTATTATTTCAAAACATTCGTAGTACGAGAAAAATTCCATTCCGTTGGATTTAACAAACCGCGCGTTACAAAAAAAGAAATGTATATATATATATATAATACAATATAACAACAAGATACAATATAAAACGCATCACACGAGAGAGAGAAAAAAAAAAAAAAAATCAGAAGAAACTCACCGCAAATTGGAGATGACGATGTTGTAGTTTCGGTCGATGCTCACCATGCCGATGTTCTGCATCACGATCCCCGTGATCAGCATACCGATCAGGGCGGGCAGGGTGGTCAAGGAGAAGAGCCATCCCCCGAAGTGAGCCGCGATGCAGAGGACGGCGAGGCCGAAAAGCTGGCCGCCAGGGGCGGCGTCCTCCCCGAGTATCGTGTACACGATGCCCCACAGCAGCAGGCCTAACAGGAACAGGCACAACAGCCGGGCGAATTTTCTGTAGCTCGGGCAAAACGGTTGGGGACAGGCTTTCCTCCAACCGGGTGGCTCCCACGATGGAGTGTCGTCGCGACCGTGGCATCGCGTGCAAAACAGATACAACCACGACCTGCGAACAAAGAAGAAAGGGAATATTAGAAGGGGACCAAGGATCCAACACTTTGCGTAAAGTATTTCGTTTTTCTATCAAATTATCGAATTATTACTTTTATCCTATTTTGGTTTATTTCATTGAGAGGAATAGTTTTTGTAATTTTAACGATAGAAGGGATTGTGCTTTTTATTTTTCTCGAAATTATGATACTATTTTTATCCTATTTTGGTTTATCTGATTTGTGGCAGAGGAGAATAATTTTTGTAAATTTTGTGGAACGATAGAATTGTGCGCGTTTTTTATTTTTCTCGAAACTATGAAACTATTTCTATTTTGGCTTATCTGGCAGAGAGGAATAGTTTTTGTAAATTTTGTGGGACGATTTTAACGATAGAATGGAATAAAATTGTGCATTTTTTACTTTTCTCGAAACTATGAAACTACTTCTATCCTATTTTGGCTTATCTGGCAGAGAGGAATAGTTTTTGTAAATTTTGTGGGATGATTTTAACGATAGAATTGTACGCGTTTTTTATTTTTCGGTTTTTATTTTTTGAAATATATTTGGAAAACTTTGAAACGAAGTAGTATATTAATGAAGTTTTCTAAAATATATATTTAATGGAGTATGTGTTTTTTCGTGTTTCCTTTTTTTTTTTTATTTTGTTGGTTCTTGGACAGTTTTCCACGATTGCGATGGAGGGAAATTACGCTCCCGGAAAAATTGTATGCACAATTCTACGAGTATTTTGCTCTTTTTGATCGAAATATTGTACGATATCTGATATTTGGACTACGCGTCTTCAAGTACGATAAAGATATATATATATAATAGAGAAAATAATCTCTCTAATAATAACGTTTGTTTCGAAGATTTTCGAGGATATTTCGTAAAATAATATTTTCAATGATATTTCATTTCACAGAGTGTATATTTTTTTCAACTCAAAGAACGAGCCAACAACAAAGAATTTTCTCGGTTCTGGTTACAAGATATACACATAACTGTAGAATAACATATTCATCACAAAATTTCAATTTATAAAAATCCCTCCATTCCATACGGCCGAAAGCTAAAACCGTAATATCCGTAATATCAAAAATCGAACAGGAAAATTCACTATACGTATAACACGTATATATATATATATATATAGTATATATACACGTGATAGAAATCCATTGAAATTTTGGTCTAAATTTTTTTTCATAATTTTACAATACAAATAAAAAATACAAAAAAAGAAAAAAAGAAAAACTTTTGTAATTAATTATATCATTCTCATAGCGTGTACGAGCATCAGAGAGAGAGAGAGAGTCGGGTAAAAAGAAGGTGAAATAAAGACAGATTTATACTGTTCAAAGTAAAAACTGGTTGCGGGGCAAACAGAAAGAGAAACAAGGGTGGAAAGTGAAAAAGTAAAGTCGGTGTATATATCACGAGATAAGACGAAAAGTTTGTATCTAGACTGTTAACATCAACATTAATGTTTTGCAAAAAAAAAAAAAAAAAAAAAAAAAGATTTAGCATCGCGAAACTTCATGTTTCTTTAAGAGATTACATACATTCAGAATCAAAAACTAAAACTTGCTCTGCCCGTTTTCTAAAAAAAAAAAAAAAAATATACCTGTGCTTTAATTCATTTAATTCATTCCCTCGGATAAAAAAATTTTTACCAAATTCACCAAATTGTAACTCGCTTTTCCAAGAATTTATTATAAAAAAAATTAATTAATTAATTTTTAAAAAGTCATCATATCCAATTTCCATCACAATCGAAAACAAAGTTCTTCTACACCATTTCAAAATTTTGCAATATACTCCAAATCACTCGATTTACCAATTCACCGAATTACGCAATCTATCAAATCATTGTACCACAAAAAAAAAAAAAAAAGGAAAAATTAATTTTCAAAAAGAAGACGCACGATCCATTATCACAATCCATTACCACATTCCATCAATTTCCATCACAATTGAAATAAGGAAAGAAAAGAAAAAAAAAAAAAAAAGAAGAAGAAAAAGAAGAAGAAGAAGAAGAAAACGTCATCGTTTCGCAAAATAACGACACATCCACTCACCACAAGAAACTCAACGACTCGACCTTCGGTTTTCCCACAAACTTGTTTTCCATTTTCCGCTCCGCGTTTTCACTCCTTATCCCCGTGTATATACGCGATATACCGATCGAGATATCGCCGTGAGACGACGATATCTTCTGAAATTAAAAGCCGAGCAAAAAAGCTGGTCGCTTATTCCGGAGAGGATTTAAGCGGAGAGCCGGAGAGCATACCTTGCGTGCACGCGAGCAGACGTTATAGGAAACTTAGAGCAGCGCTTGATTCAATCTCATTAGACTTTATGATCTTATCAAGGCGATTGGAAATGACAGGCTTTGTAACCGACCGGTTACATCACCATTCTACGCTTCCTAGATCCGTTACAATTCTCTCGATTAGGGATTTACCTGCCTCGAATACTTTTGTATGTTCGTTCGTGCATCGTGGGCAGATATATTGGAAAGAACGAAAGAGAAAAGAAAAGGAAAAAAAAGAAGAAGAATTAGCAGAAAAATGGCGACGATGCGTATAATTGCAAGCGTGATTGATCGATGCGCTCTATCGATATTTATTTTGTTTTATTTTTTTTTTATTATTCTTTTTTTCATTTTAGAAATTTATGCTCGATGAATGCCTCTTCGTCTCGGTGTATCGAGATTTATCGTTTTATTTTTCGCGTTTTCGTAATGTTATTGTGATATTGCGCGTATATCGATATTGTTCTTTTTTTTTTTTTTTTTCTTTTTTTTATTACCGTCGTAATAGCAGAGATTCGCAAAGTATTGATTTGGATAATGGAAGGATGATTTAACGAAAATATGTTGTTACGGAATTGATTAGTCGAATATTCGTTCGTCGCGTGAAAATTATTCGCCCGTTTAATGTTAAACGTTTATGGGCCGCGTATATCAATTCGGAAAATGTCTACGCGTTGTTTTAATTTATCTCGTGCGTCGATATTTCACAAACTATTCGTAACTATTTGTATTAAAAAATTTCCGTTCTTTTCGGGAAAAATTAATCGTTCGGAAATGTAATTTTTTTTTCCTTTTTTTTTTTTTTTTTTTTTTTTTTTTTGAGAAAAATCGTTTCTACGCGGTTAGATTTATCGAAGATAAAACATCGATTAAAACATTCCATTATTCCATTGCGAGCTTCGCTTAATCAAACACTCGTAAAAGCTTAATGCGATCAAATTTACTAAATTCTCGCGTGTTTGCACTATCGATATGTTTGTTCTAATAAGATTACTCTTACCCAAGAAAAATAGTATTTTAAATGTAGAACATTCTTTAAAAGCTTTCTCGCGTTTAATAAGATACAATTTCTTAATTTCTACCGATTTTTGAAAAAAGAAAAAACGAAAAGATTCTTTCGAATTCCAACGAATTCTCCAGAAGAAAATTTCATAAATTCCATTCATCATCGCTTTAACGGAATACGAAAATTCTCAAAACATACAACAATATGTATTGATTCCTAAAAATCATTTTAACTACCATCGTCTCTTAAATCATTCTCAAAAATTCCTTTTCCTTGCACGAAAAAGAAAAAGAAAGAAAAAGTTGCTACAGATCCTCAAAAAATGTCACAAACCTAAGCAGAATGAACGAAAACTCGAGAGAGAAGAATATAACCATCAAATATCGTTCCAATTACAATCGCGATAAATCATTCTCAAATTAATTTCCCTTTTCTTGCACGAAAAAGAAAAAAAGAGAGGAAGAAAAAAATGTTTGAAATCTTTGGATAGATTCGAAAAAATTTTGACAAATCGGAATGGAGAGAGAAGAGTAACGGCGCATATATCATTCCGTCTAAGCCGTCTAACCTTATCGTCGTGAATTATACTCGAAATTATACTATATTTTTCTCGATTTCGAGAGGGAAGAGAGAAAAGAAAAAGAAAGAAAGAAGAGGAGAGAGAGAAAGGTCTCTCGCGTATAGGGAGAAATTTCATTTCAAAGCGGAATAGAATGGGGAAAATTCTCACCGTTCCAGCTCCTCCGAGTACTCGATCTTGTCCCTGATGGAGCTGGTCAAGCTGTACGCGGACTTCTTCCTGCTCCCTCCATTGATCCTCCCGTTCTCGAGATCGAACTTGTGCTGCGGTATATTCTCCGAGCTGCCGTAGTTGCTCCCTCCGTGCTGCAATATCGATTTGCCACGTCCCTGATCCGAGTTATGCTCCGAGCTCGCGCTTATGCGCCGATGATGATCGAACGTAGGATTATCCATGCCTAGTATCTGATCGCTAATGGAGACGCGCCTCTTGGCCAATTCCTCGCTCGACCTGTTCGTCCTTCCGCTCATGTCCATATCCATATCTCGCCCTTCCTTCCTCCGGATAATCGGGGGGGAGGTTGGATATAACCTGCCCAAGATCGCGCGTTTACGCGCCGATTCGACGTCTGTGCGCCTCTTTTGTTCGAAAGAGACAGAGAGAGAGAGAGAGAGAGAGAAAAATCGATTTTATCGAGCTCCACGAGGAAACTCGACGCGAACGATCGAATCGAGTCGCGTCTGGACGAAGATGGAGAAGACAGAAGACAGAGATCGACGGTCGAAACGACGATTACACGGCATCGGTATTCCGACCGATCATCGCACGACCATGAATACAGGTTACGACTCGTCCAACGGATTCAACGAGTTCGCCGCTCGGAGGGATCGATGGGTGCGATTCAACTCGAATCCATGCACACGCGCGGCGTAGAGAAAGAAGGAAAAGTCTCGTCTCGATCTTTCGAACGTTCGAAAATTTCGAGGAGGAAAAAGAGGAGAAACAATCGACTCTAAACGCGCGACAAAAGCAATTCGAGCTCTGGGACGATGTAATAGACGACACGGCGGGGAACCGTGAGAAAGAAGAGGTTAGTCGCGCGGGATCAGCTTTCCACGATTGACTGGCGATCACGGCTCGATCACGTCTCCTGTTTCGATCGTTGACAGCGCGCCGTGAGCGATCGCGTGACGATGACTCCGAGAAAGTCGAAACACCGATGATCCCCCGCCGATGATCGGTCGATCACGCGGCCCGATAGCGGCCCGATCGTCGAGATCGTCGCGTGACGATTTGTTTTCCCAGCCGGTGAGTGGGGAGTGGGGAGTGGAGGGGGGCGTCGGCGCGCCTACACCTCGGCCGGATCTTCCTCCTTCGCGATCCCACCTTGACCCGCTTTTACCAGCCGCGTCGATCATCCACCGACGCGACCCGCGGCCGGAGCTTCCTTCGCTCGGATTCCGACTTCCTCCTCGACACTGTCCTTTTCCATTAATCCGATTAATCGCCGCGAGGGGGTACGAATACAGAGAGAAATGGAGACACGATTTCGACGGTTTATCGGTTGGTAAAGTAAAATTTCCTTTTCGTTTATCTGGCGATTCTTGAACAAATGATACACGATGAAATATCATTCGTGGGATTGATTAATGGTAAATTATCTACGTAATCATGAACTCATTCCGATCGTATGGGTTTCAGAAAAACAAGATCGTTTGGTATATTATTTACAGTCTCGCGTGAACCTATTTCCCTCCGCTATGATCACACTATAATCACTTTTCGAATTCGACGTCCAACTTTTTCCCCTTCGTTTGAAAAAAAAAAAAAAACAAAGAGGAAGCAAAAAATTCCACAACCTCCGCGACATAATTTTTATCGTTGTTTCATCGTACGTTTTTACACCGATCGCATTCACCACCTGTTTGTATTTATTCTCGCGCGCGAAGAAGGAAAAGAAAAAAAAAAAAACGAAAACAAGTATATCCCATACTCGTTACTCTCTCTCTCCCTCTCTCCTCCTATACCTTCTCGTTCATCGCCGTCGAATCGCACCGCACAGATCCATCATCCATTTTTCTTCCACACACTTTTCCCACACTTCTTCTCCTCTTTCTTAAAATCCTCACCTCCGGACTCTGGCCTAAAACCCGAGGTATATGAGAGCGGGCCCCGTCGACGACTCTCGAAATGGGGATACGGCGCGCGGAGGCACGGAAACGAATACCGCGAAACGAGCACGGTTAACTAGCGACTAAACGCTGCAAAGTGTTCACCGCTTTACGGCGGTGTGTTTATGCGAATGGTGGTGGGGCTGGTAAAAAGTGGTGTAACGCACCAAGCCGCATTCGTACACGCGGCGCGCGCGCGCGTGTGCGCGTGTAACAATAATTGTTGTACCGCGTTTGCACAGGATGGGCACAGCTGGACACCTCATTCACCGCCCATTCGGGCCTAACCCGACCGACCTGTGCCCCTTGCGGATCGTGACCACGAGCCGCGATCGTTTAACCAAGATCCGCGAGAATACCAGAGCGGACGGATCATAAATTGAGGAGTTCTCAACAGGAGGAGTTACATTGCTAGCTTCGAGTCTCGATCCTATTTATTTTCTTCTTCTCGTCGTTTAATTTCTTTTCTTTTCTTTTTTCTTTTTTTTTTTTTCGTTTAATCCCATCCCCTATTTCGTGTTTTCGAAGGGAGGGATTGATTGACGAAATATTCGAAATATTTTTAAAACGGTTGACGATTGATGAGAATTGAAATAGTTTGGAAAATTGGGATCGAAAGTGGACGAATAGAAATTAAATTTGGAAAATGGAGAAAGAGAGGGGGAGAAAGAGAGAGAGAGAGAGAGAGGGAGAGGGAGAGACAGAGAGATTTGAAAAGGAACGAGTAGAGATTGAAATTATTAAGAGGATTATGTTTTGATTATTGGGAATAATTAGTTTTTCGTAAAATTGTGTGTTAAAATTCTTTCTAGTAGTGAATATTTTTATTTTGAAGGTAATAAAGTTTCGAAAGGTTTGGAAGAAACGAGTTTTTTTTTTTATTATATGAAAATAACAGAAAGATTATCGTCAATATTTACAATCTCTTTTATATCCGCGCTTTATACCTTGCGCGTCGAGTACATCGTGACAAATATATCGTTCTTTCAATCTAATTTTTAATACGAACGTCTCGTCGTACGTGCAATAAGTTAATTCCAATTAACAATGAACGTATTTTTCTATCTTTCGTAAACACGCATCATGTATAATTCGATTCGATTGCCTCTATTCTCTTTTTCTTTTTTCTTATCGTCTCTTTTCGCTTCTTCGAACTCGCTCCTTTTTTTTTTTAATTCAACTTCTCACAACTAGATATAAATCATAACGTAATACGATGTAATTAGATAACTGATCGTCAAACAATGTGCTACTTTCTCGAGTGTCGATAAGCTATCATATTTTCCGACGACGCGAGTATATTTCCACCGAGAGAAATTTCCTCTTTCTAGAAATGATCCGTTTCGATCCGATTTTTTAATTTTATACATAATAAAAAGTAATTACGTATATATCGCCTTAATAATAATCAAAATTCTCCTCGTATTTTTGAGAAGAAATTTTGAGAAACCGACGACTTATAAAACCCCCTCTTCTAGTTTAACGCACGCTAAATCATACTTCGATCCGAAATCCCTGATGGAAACGTCGAAATAATCTCACCTCGAACCTTTCAAAATCTACCGTTTCGAAGGAATTATATTTTGACGTAAAACTTATCTCTCTCTCTCTCTCTCTCTCTCTCTCTCTCTCTCTCTCTCTCTCTCTCTCTCCTCGCGCAAAAACCTTGCAAAATGTGTTTCTCACCGCAAAGAAAAGAAAAAAATATATCGAGAAATTTTCATCCATTCCATCCAAGCAACACCGCTTTTAAATTTTAATTGAAAAATTATGATATTCGTACGCGATTACGAGAAACGGAACGTTGAAATTATTTCGCATTTACAATTGTAATCTTTCGAAGGAAGGCGCAATTACCACGCAGAAATCGAAAATAAAAAGAAATCGAAAATAAAAATTCGATAATCGATACGTAACGCAAACTAATAATACAAATTTCTCGGTCGAGGCAAGTGGGCACGTGGCTTTCGTGCGCAAAAAACGAAAAAAACAAAAAGGGAAAAACACTTTTTCACACTCACGATATAATTGGCACGACAAACGTTCCACTCGATCTTCACCGTGGCGTGTCTTCCCGGACACTGGGGGGACTCGGTTGTGTCGTGAAACGGCAATCGTTCGAAAGGTTATTGCGTTTATTTACATACGATTCATCCACCAAGGTGAATTATGGCGGCATCGTGCGCGCGTTACGGCCTCCAATTGTTTCGAAGTTTCGAGTATACATTGATAATTTTACTCGATCGACACTCGGCTCGAATCGAATCGTTAGGGAGAAATGTGCGCTCGATCGTTGGAAAGGTTTGAAACGGGAATGAAACGCGATGCCGTATACGATTTACGTTCGTTCGATTATCGAAAATGCGAATTCGACCAATAATAAGTCGCGTTATCGAAAACACGAAAATAATTTCACATAAACGGATTATTTTATTTTCGTTTCTTTTTTCCTTCTTCTTTGTTGTAAAAAAATAATTTAATCAAAGTCGAAATTGCGGTGGCGAAGAATGACAAATTCGAGAATCGAGATTCTTCGTTTCGTAAAAAATAAATTACGTTCAATTTGCTTCGCATACACGACCAAAATCTTTTTAAAATGTACGAATTTACTAAGATTAGAGAACAAATGAATTCAAAATGTTAAAAATATTTCTGTTTTGCAAATATCAAAAAAAAAAAAAAAAATACAAGAGAATCCAAAAATCCTTTGAATATACTAAAAATTTCTTAGAAAGAGACAACCTATCGTCTTACAAAATCAAACACAGTTAAACCCCCTAAGAACCAATCCATCGATGGATCACCACTTAAGAGACATCCCCCTTTCGAATCCACACGATAAATCTCTTCACTCTCTCTCTCTCTCTCTCTCTTTCTCTGAACCCTTTGTTCTGGTCGAAAAAAAAAAAAAAAAAAAGCAAAAGCATCGAACTGGAGGTGGAAAAGCGCGAAAAAAAAACGCGTCGATTCAACGGCGGTTTTTCGACGGTATCGATTTCGGTTAATAAAGGGACGATAACCTATCTCCGTCTCCCTGGAGAGAAGCATCTCTCGCACCGCGTTTAGATTAATTGCGTCGATTATCGGGGTATAATTATTAAGCGGCGAAATGTTACGCGTGCTATCGCGCGTGAATCAGTCACGATGCTCGGCCAACCGCTCGTCATGCGCTTCCCAACTCGAATCGAATCGGTTAAAATCGATATTAAACCTAATCGCGAAAATATCGAAGGAGCGTTTATGCGATAAACGATACGCGATACGGAATAGTTAGTTTCTTCGAGTGGCCTCGTCACATGGCCTCGTCAAGTGTCGCGTGTATTGACAACGTTGTAAAAACAGTTCTTTCTTTTCTATTCTTTCAAAAAACTAAACTCTCCATAAGGACAGAGACAAGTTGAATAAATCCAATTTAATTATTGCTCTCGTTTAGAAGAAAGAATACAATATTTCGAACAAACTTTGAAAAATAAAAAAAAGTATATTTATAGGATCCATTGTACACCAGATTGTATAATAAGTTATCGAGTTTCAACGAGCGGGGGAATTATTTCTTTTTTATCTCCAATTTAGTTTTTTCGCGTTAGAAATAAGGCCGAAGTACGGAGTTGTTTCCAATCGCACGAGTGACGGACAGTCATGCGCTTCTTATTATCAGGGAGGATGATATAGAGTTCAGCCGTGACAAATATATATATGTATATATATATATATTTCCTTCGAGTGTGAACAAACATTATCAGATCTTGGTGAACAAACAATACACAACATTCGTCTTTTAATCGATAAAAGATCTATAATATTTTTTCACATTTTAACTAACCTAGAATCAATCATTTTATTTATAAAATTTCTACACTGTTAAGTGGAATCATTTAATTCGTACAATTATTTTCTTAAACAAAATTTTATTTCCCTCTTTTCATTTCAGCGAGCCAACTGTCTTCCTTATCCCCAAAACGTTATAATCACGTTTTATCGTGCAAAACAAAGATTATTATTGTTATTATAAATAAAATTAATTCAGAAATTATTATTATATATTATATGCACATCAAAAACGCGTTCCTCCCTGGACAAATTACATCTCAGCTTCTATTCGATTATTGATTATTTCGATCGAAATGACTCGCGTAATTGTTCGTCCACCGTTTTTTTCCCCTCTTGTGCAGAAAGAAACGAATTTAATCGACCCTCTCCTTCGATGTATGTCGCAACAAAGCAAGAAGATTGCGCAATTTAACGAAAGAGGGAGAGGAAGGGAGAAAATTGTTCGTTATGCATTTATTTTATCGTGGAAATTTAATTTCATCCATCCGCTCCATCACCCTCTCTAAAATTCATCATTCGGATAATCCGCGATAAACTACTTCGATTCGATCGCTTCGTAATTAATTCTCACCGTCGCCCAGAAATCATCGCGATTATTCAAACGGGCGGGCGAGGATCCAGGCTTCATAAACGTTAATTCGGTTTATTCGAATATAGCGCGTAATCGTATCGTGATCCCCGTGTTTGTTCGAGGGGCGCGATACGACCCTGCTTCCACCCTTCCCTAAATCCTAATCGTGTCTCGTTCCTCCCTCCCCTGGAAAGAAGAGGGCCAGACGCGTCTCGTGCGATTTCAGAATTCAGAGATCGCTCGTGGCCGTCTCAATTAACAATCTCTCGTTTCTAATCTTTAATCCTGAACGATTTCTTCCGTCAAAAATGTGCACAGTGCAAGATCGTCAGCGTTTACGACATTCACGAAACAAAGGATAAGAACAAAGTAATGCTAAATTGCAGAGAAAGGTACTTCGTGTACAATAACTCGAATTACATGTACGATATCTTATGCAACTATAATCGCCCATAATACGTCAGTGGCGTTTTATGGAGAGCGATTGTATATATATGTGTTTCGTAGTAACGAAAGGGTTAATCGTATATCAATGGATCGTTGGAGAAAAGTCGATGGATCTTTCTCGTTTGAAACCTTCTTCTTCTTCTTCTTCTTCGACGAGAGAGTTGGTGAAACTGTAGATTATCGCTGTTTAAGTGGCTTAAAGGTGTAAGGGACAAGCGTGCAAGCGGCTTTCGACACGTTGTCAAAGTGTCGTCGCGTTGAGCTTCGAGAACAATCGGGGTCACCGTATATGTACATATATATATATATAGGGATTGGTATTTTTCATAAAGAAGGAATAAGAAGGGTATC